GCCGAACGCCGACTTAGGTGGTTTTGGTTCTGAGCAAGGACCAGGGATTTTAAAAATGAAAGGAAAAAAAATGTTTGTTTTGATGCACAAGAAATATTTTGTGATTTGTAAAAATTGTTTTGACTTTTTGAGAACCGAGACTTGAATTTATTGTCGGTTTTGATCACAAAAGACCGACTCGACTAAGTCTTCAATTCTTGATCTTGTCCTTGAGTCTTTTAGGTCTTGTTCCAAGCCATTCTTCACGCCTTGAGTTATTCAACGAAACTCTTTATATCCACGGCGGTTTGGCAATTATCAAAACCTGTCAGAAATGAACACGACTTTAGTTTATCGTACAAAGTGTGTTCCAACACCAAGATCCATATTTCATTATCTTGCGTTCCGCTTGGGCGTTACTCCACAAGACAACTATTTAGGTAGGAACATAGTTCCAACTGATGAGCCGGGCTCTCAGCTCTTGGTCTGGTGTTGGGCGAACAATATTACTACAACCGGACCAGGACACTTTTTCACCATACTTGTAATTGGCTGAGGAACGTCTTACAAGCAGACTACTTTGGTTAGGAATAGAGTTCCAATTAAATCATAAAGATCCAACTCCTGGCTGGATGAGTGAGTAAAATCATCCGACTTGTCATTGATGACCCCAACTTATTACCTATGAGTCGTCCATCCATTTGACCAAGACTTAGTTAAGTCTAACCCAACGTGCGACAGCGACCACGCTATGGCGGTTCCCGTAACCAGCTTAACATACACCGTACTATGCTCTGCTGAGGCTGAGTACGTGACAGTGCACATTAGCCGGATAGGTGCCGGACGTCAGAAGGCAACAGACTTAATATTCGTGAGGGATTTATAATTTCGATCTCACCTATCGACATGGTCGTGCACATGTCCATTACTAGCGTTCAACATACATTCAACATGCATTCACAAAACGCAGTAAATAAACGTGTAATGATTGTGGCCCCTAAAAAAAAATAAAACGATAGCTCCCACTGGCATCCAGGCACTTGGACTTCGGGCTATCTCCATTGTTTTAGATTTCTTCAAACGGTCTTTAAATCTTTTCGTCTTCTAACCACCACGTGAGAAAAGAATCCTCGGTTGAGGTAAGAGAGAAATAGATTTACAACAAGAGTTTAAGAGATAAGGCACGACACGCAGGCCGTATTATAATCAAATAAACTATAGCCACAATCATCCACCATGCATATCATACATCCACACAAGCAATAGAGATATACATATACTGGGTGAACCGCGCTCACCCCAGACAGTTCTAGAAAAATACTACGGGAGTTAATATTTTCTAAAACTCATAAAATTAAATTAGATGTCCAAATAAATCTAATAAAATTTTATAAAATCATTTTATATACTCTATATATTCTGCCAGCATAAAAACAATATCCAGAATATTCCAAATGACCAAAATGCCCTTTTTGCAAAATTATATTCAAAAAGGCCATTAAAATTTTGAAACAATTTCGCAAAAATCATGAAGATTAAATTTCAACTTCCAGTAGTTATTTTTAACATTTATAAACCTGGAAATAAAATTTCCAAAATTTATAAATCATTATTTCCAAAATATATTAGTTAAATCTCAATAAGTTATAAAAAGCCATTTAAATTGATTTCAAAAATATTAAATTACAAAAATTTAATATTTTGAAAAACATTCTTTTTCTTACTGAGATATAACTTTCCAAAATATATATTAGTCATTTATGTAATTAAAATACAAATATATAAATATATAAAATATTTCGGTAATAAAACCGAGTACATATATAAATATATATTTATTTAATTACTAACTAATATTATTTTGAACAATATATTTACCAACAACTTTATTCAACTTAGAAATAATATTTCCAAGTTTAATAAAGTTCATTTTGAATTTTCCCATATTTATTTTCGGTTTTCACCTAAATAAATACAATAAATTCAAAATAGGAAATAATACATTCAAAAATTACAATATAATTTTATCAATCATAAAAT